CACGCCCACCGCCGCGGGGGGCGGGGCCCGACTCGCGCGTGCGCGGAGGGAGCAACGCCGCTCGAGACTACGCGCCCCAGCATGCGGCGCGCACGTGGGGGGGCGTCCTACCTGTCCTTAAAAGGGACAGACGCACTTTTGCATGCGGCGACTCCCCTCTCCTTATAAGTGCGTGCGGAAAAGGAGGAGGGGAGGGGAGGGCAGGGCTGAAATCAAACAAGCAAACGCGCTGATAGGAAGTGAGAGGACGACCCTGCCCGCGGGCGGAACTCGAGTGCCAAGCCCGTGCTCCCAGCCGGGACACGGGGAGAAGCTCACGCTTCCTGCCGGAAGCTTCCCCGAGAGCACCGGAAGCGGTTGTTGCTGCTGCGGGCCCACGTGGGCGGTGGGAGTGCGGAGCCGACATAGAGCAGCGACGTGGTGTGTCGGCTCGGACCCCAGCGCTGCCCTGGTCTGGGGTGGGCCCCACCCCGGAGCGCTGCACCACGCAGACCTGCTTTGTACTCAGTCAATCGTAGACGAGTAATATAGCTACATCATGTATTTACACTGTAAATAGCGATCGTATTGATTTGGAAGGACTTCTTCGAGGTGACACTGCTGGACTTTTTGAAGGGCACGTGGCAGGAGTCTCGGCTGCAGGTTTTTCTGGAGTCTCGTTGCCTTTCTGAAAGGAAGTGCCCAAGGCCGTTTCGACAGATGTTCTCTGGGGAGATGGGCGACGCAGCGAACTCGGCCAGTCGCTTCGAGCGCTGTGAAGTCGAAACTGATGTTGGGAAGTTGAAACGGCGTCAACTCATAAACGTCGTGAGTGCCGTTCGTTGTAACTTGAAACGTCTTACGTGGAAAACTGCCTCTGTAAGTGGGGGATGCTTGGCAACAGGATGCAGCATGGGTTAGCGCTCTTCGTCCATACACATGACCCCAAACCAGAAGAAGATGGAAATGGTGAAGAGATCTAACTGCACGTGAGGCGTAGCACAGGCAGGCAGATGCGGGAACAGGGATAGAAAGGAGGCGGCACAGTCCTGATCGGCTCTTCTCGAACTGTATTTCTCAGCTAGCTCCTCTGAGCCTTTTGGACACGGCAGGATGCAGGTCTGAAAAATTAATGATCTGCTTAACTATCTGTAGACGAAACGGTTTCTCTGACTGTTGTTCCAACAGAAGACTAAAACAGATGCAGTAACTTTGGCGTGTCTCATGGTAGAGCTTGGTTACCCCGCTGAGTACAAGCTACAGCCTGACTGGACTCTGATTTTGGGGGTTTTTTTCCTTCTTTTATTCCTTTAGGCTGTGGGGCCGAGCTGTGTGACCACCAGGCGCGTCCGCAGGTGGTGGGTAGTGGAATGACCTTCAGGGAAGGTTAGCTGTGAAATAAGCAATGGCAGACTCCACCAGGATGTGAGGAGAGCAGATGGCAATACTTTCTCTCCTGAAAAGCCACGTGTATCCTTTGACGGTACTGCTGTGACACGGTGAGTGGAGGTCGCCACTGTAACAAGCCTGCCTAGTCCCCAGCCATGGGTCTGCAAGTCCTCAATGCTGAAGTAGGCAGAAGATGTTATAACTCAATGGCTGCAAAGGGAGATGAAGGCTGTAGCACGGCGGTTCCCAACCTTTTTTCCCCCCCGCGCCCTGCTGCTGGGACTGGAGTGCGGGGGTGAGGGAGCTCCTGGCATGCGGTGCGGCGCGGCGCTGCTGGCATTGCCCCCGCAACCCTCATTTGGGTCACAACCCACGGTCTGAAACTGGTGCTGTAGCGGAACAAGATCGCCGGTTGTCTTGGTCTCTTTGCCATTGCATTAGAGTCCTGTTCTGTTAAGAGCTGCATGGAAGCTGATGTGCAGCAGCTTCTCCACAATAAAAAGATGTCTTCCATTTCCTTAAGGCCTGCTCATAAGGCAGATGTTTCCCCTTACAGTGATGTTACTTCTCTGCACCTTTCAAACTAAGTCTCTAAAGTGCTATGTACCTTGTCCAGAAATAATTAAATAGAATGGAAAGGGACTTCTGTATTAAACACTATTGGCTTCCGTTTTATAGCAGATAGGTTTCACTTTCATCACACTTAATTTTTCCAAGTGACTTTTCCCGCATTTGTACAGTGTACAAGAGTGCAAAGCATTTTTCTCCCTAAATGCTTGTCTGGTATCTGCCAATAGTCTGTTCCTCCATTTGAATCCCAGCTCAAATGCGTGGCTTCACTGTAGGCCTACTGCTACATCCATCACTGGTAACTGACTCCTGTTAACATTAGAACATGTAAACCTGTGTTTAGTTGCAGCTGTACTGGTTAGTGGGATTTCATAGCTGTAGCTACCAATGGATTTAGATATAAAGGATGAATGATGTCAGCTGGCACCTCAAAATTCCTCTTTAAAACTATTGTAATGACATAGCCATGAAATTGTGATCTAGAGACAAGACATTAAGATAAATGTCTGACTTGCCCCTTTTGATTGATACAAAGAAGGGCCAGCGAGGTGGTGCTTAAGGGAAGAATGGAAAAAAAACCCCAAGCTGTTAATAGAGTATTTGACTCTTGTTAAAAGTTTTTAGAACATGGCTTAAATTCTAGACTGGGTACATCCAATTGGCTCTCCTAGCGAACAAATGCTAGTTAGACTCTCCTAATAATTTCTGTCTTTGCAGCTCCAGAAGTTGTCTCTTCACAGACTGCTGCAACACTGAAAGAATAAGATCACTTGCTCTTCTCTCCGTGTCTACCTACAGGGAACCTTGTCCCTTCCTTCAAAATGCCAACTCTTCATCCGGGCACCAGCATGCAAAACCATGGATTGGGGCTTCAACATCTCCCCTCACTACTTGAAGAAACCAGAACCCCAGAAACTGGGTCTACTGTGACCTGATATGAAGACCACTAAAGAAGTCTCCAAAGCCAGCCGTTTACCTCAGACTCGTGGGGCTGATTCCATTTGTTTCAGTGCCAGTGGTAAAGGTCATCCAAAAGACTTACCATCCTGAGCTGGCATTTACTCAGGTTTCCTGTGAAGCCTGTATAATCTTTTTTTCTAGATAGAAACCTGGTGAGGATTTGCTGTCCCAGAACACAGCCTTACGAGTCCAGATTAGCTGAATTTGGCCATGTGTACAGTTCCTCCTTTTAACAGCCTGGTTTGCTTTACTCTTCTGAAATGATTTCAGTGAAGCTGCAGTCATGCTGATAATTGGTTTAGGCATAGCAAAACATTATGACCTTGCCCTCCTTCCTACTTATCCCTGTTGATTGATTAAAAGCCCAAAGGGGAATTTTAACAGCACTGGCCGTACTTTCCTGGCTGTACTTTGGCAGTGCTAGCTGACACAGCATAGATGACCAATCTTCCAGAGAAGCAATTAAGTAACAGAGAAAAATAAGAGCAGATGAAAACAAAACAACAACTCAACAGAAGAGACTTGTTAGATGTTTCTGTATTGTGTCTTAGTGGGAATATAATGTTTCATCTCCTTCCGCTTCCAGCCTAGAACCTTAACTGGAAATTGGAAGCCAGCAAAATACAAAGCAGTGTATTTGAGATCAAAGGCAAAGAAGGACTTGCATCTGTCACCATTAAGACTGTTTTCAAGACATGTTTTGCAGCAGGATCCTAAAACCTCACTCGGGGAAGGTGCACAAGTCTTCAAACTGAATTGCTCAGTTTCAGTATTAAAGTGGTGATGGGGATAGGTGGTTTAACTGAAGTGTGACAAGTTCTGCAGCAGGAAGAATGAACTCAGCTTTCATAAAGATTACACATCTTTTGGAGAAAAGCCCTGTTTGTTCTCCCCGAGTGGAACAACACCTGCAGTGTAGGTGCTTTTGATGACTGGAAGGAGCTGTGCCAGGTCATAGTATATTCAGCAGTTTTTCTGGAAATGCTGGCTATGAATTGCTCAATGCAACAGGTAAAAGCAACTCTTCCCTTGCCCAACTTCAACTGAAGAGAAATCGAAGAGTTATTGGTAATTATGAGTTAGTAATAATATAATGAATGTAGTAGACAAAAGGTGTCAAGCTGAGATCAGCGCTTACCTCAGGAATGTCAACTAAATGTGGTTAACTGTACTTCACCTGTTTAAAAAAATAAAAAAAGAAAGTAAGTGGACCTTCTCTAAGATGCCTCCTGTAACAACTACGTACTGGCTTCCAACACAAAGATCCTTTTCATTAAAGTTAACTAAGGACCCAATCCAGGCTGAACATGCACTGCAGGGTTAATCACTCTCCTCCCCACCTTCCCGACAACCTTAGCTAAAAAAGTGCGCTGGCACAAGGAGAGCTACTCATAAGATTTGGCAGAAGGCTTGGGGCTCCGAGGCTTTTTTTTTGTAAAGGAAGCTAGTTTGTTCTCCTGCACGAGCTGAGCAACTACGTTCTAGGCTGGTCAGGAGAATGCAAATGTACTAAGCAGCAAACGTCAACCCTGCATCACAGGTGTTCATGATAGTCTTCTCTTGCCCCTCATTCCTGTTACAGCCAGCGAGAGCAGAAATTTAAGTGGGGAGGGACTATGTACATTTTCAGTTGTGGTCTAGTATTCCTACATGCAGGTGCACATGCTAGAAGATAGAAAGATGGCAATAAGTGGGTATTTAAGAATGAGTTAAAGAAGTTTTACTAAATGCTAGTTTCCAAGGGAATAGAGGGAAATGTTCACTACTGTAAGGTCTGCACTTCAATAAAGTTACTTCCCTACA